CACACATGCTTATCAACAGAAAGTACATAAACACATGCAGTAATTCCATTTTAGCATTGGACAGAGCACGGAAAATGATCTGTTTTAGACATTTCTCATAGCTCTGAAGACTACGAGTCCATCAATTCAAAATAAAGCTACCTAAATTGATCAGCTCACTTGCCTAAATGGTCTCAGATTCCAGAGCACTCAGGAGATGAAAGTGGAAGAGAAACTGTGGGGGCACGAGTGATGATCCCCTGCTGTTGACCCAAGAGATGAAAGTAAAAGAGAAACTGTGGGGGGCACGAGTGATGATCCTCTGATGGTGACCCAAGAGATGAAAGTGGAAGAGAAACTGTGGGGGCACCAGTGATTATCCCCTGCTGTTGACCCAAGAGATGAAAGTGGAAGAGAAACTTTGAGGGCATGAGTGATGATCCCCTGCTGTTGACCCAAGAGATAAAAGTGGAAGAGAAACTTTGAGGGCATGAGTGATGATCCCTTGCTGTTGACCCAAGAGATGAAAGTGGAAGACAAACTTTGAGAGCATGAGTGATGATCCCCTGCTGTTGACCCAAGAGATGAAAGTGAAAGAGAAACTGTGGGGGCACCAGTGATGATCCCCTGCTGTTGACCCAAGAGATGAAAGTGGAAGAGAAACTGTGGGGGCACGAGTGATGATTCCCTGCTGTTGACCCAAGAGATGAAAGTGAAAGAGAAACTGTGGGGGGCACGAGTGATGATCCCCTGCTGTTGACCCAAGAGATGAAAGTGAAAGAGAAACTGTGGGGGGCACGAGTGATGATCCCCTGCTGTTGACCCAAGAAATGAAAATGGAAGAGAAACTGTGGGGGCACGAGTTATGATCCCCTGATCCCCCTAATGAAACTATGGTGGCAGCAGTGATGACTGGACTCATAGAAGCAATTCATCAGTTTATTTGGACTGCTGAGCATATGAGACTGATGACAGATGATAAAGACATGGAAGAAGAGTATAAAGTAAGAGGTAGTGAAAATAATAACAATTAGAAAACAGAAGAAAAAAAAAAGGGGGGGGGGGGCGAGGAGATAGCATATGAGGCTGATAATAGAAGATAAGGATGTAGAAGAAGAAGATGATGAAAATAAGAGGTAGAGAAAAAATAACTATAAAAAACCAGAATGAAACAATTGGCGAGAAAAGGGGGAGAGGACGAGAAAATAAAAAAGACAAACACAAAAAGGAATAGGACATGAAGGAAGAAGCAGACTACAACAATGACAAACATGTTTTTAAAAAAAAGTAGAAATTCTCTTCATGCAGACTCAGCAGATTCATTAATTCTTCAACAAACTTGTTTCTCAGGTATAATTCTTAGTGATGAAAAAAATACTACACAACTGACAGTCAGAAAACAAAATCACTGATACCTGCTTGTTGTTTTTTTTCCATACTAAGTTACAATGAAAATATGTTTTCATCTGCTTCAGTAGTGCTGAACTTTAAATAAATGCCCCTATTTGTTTAAAAGACTCCTTATGTGGATTTGGGGTTGCATTTCGGGGGAAAAAGAATATACCCACTGCTCTCTAACAAGAATTTCACAAAAGTCAACAAATTAGGGATTTGGTGTTGGGCCAGAAGGTGCAGAAGAAGAAAGCTAAAGGACATTTAAGAAAACTGCATGGCTCAGAGTTTTAAGTTAATTATATCATTTTATTTACCGGAAAGCTACACTTACCTTAGAGAACTGATGTCCCAGTTTTACCAGGGGCACAGTAGGAAATGACCTTTTCGGTGACATTTCCAGGGCTCCTGTCTTTAAGGCATACAGATTACTCATTACTATCAACAGGTCAGAAGTGGTCTTAACTGGTAGAAATCGACTTCGTGGTACATTTATTCCTGATGTGTGAGAAACGTTAGAATGCAGTTAATAGTCCCCTAGGTAGTGTGCAAGATTATTCAGACTGTGCTGTCTGTTATATTATCACAATCGACATCACTGCATACTGGGCATTCAAGTGCATGCTCAGTTCCCCATGGAGCAGCCACTCCAAGGTTCTTCTAGTAATTTTCCCAGGAGAGGTTGGTTATTATGTTTCTTATCTCAGCCATGAAGGCTGTATAGGCGTGCTTCACCATGCTTTACTTCCATGTCACACAATCACGTTAGGATCAGAGATTTGTTATTATCCACTAACCCAGTCCGTACAGCATTAATGATATCTGCTCTGTCCATGCTTTTCCCCCACATATGTTGGTGCACTGTTTACCTGTTGGTCCACTCACTCATCACCCTTTACATCAGAAGTGTGTAGATCCAGGTGAAGGAGGTTAAGTGCTGTCTGTTAATTCACTTCAAGTGTATTTTTGACAAACAAGCAATATCTCCTTTCACTCTCTCATGCATGCCCACATTCACAGAGAAAACGGATTGTTTTTACATTAGCGATGCGTCAGACATATGATGCTGCACTCATAGAACAACTGGCAATTGCTGGGTGATGTGGTCAACACTTACCAGAATACAACCTGGCACCAATTTTAGGCAAGTTCGAACTGAGAGTGAAAGTTAATTTTTATTTAAAAGCCTCACAGTGTGGATCTGAACCCAAGGCCTCCAGGCTAGCATCGCAAGCGTCTAGCGACTTGGTCACTATGGCTAGCAAACACACAATACCCTAGCAATATAATCTCACAAAGTCTCATGCACAAGATTTCTCAACTGTCCTGCCTATATTCAAGCTGTATGGCCATGCGGGTAGTGGGCTGTGAATTTGGTAGATGAAAATGACCTAGTTTCCTGCAGAGAAGACTAAATAAGTGTGAAACACACAATATTCAGAAAAACCTTGGCAGAATGGAATGCAGTGGTACCTCGTGTCATGAACTTAATTCGTTCTTTGACTCCGTTTGCGAGCCCAAACAATTTTTTTCCTTCTAAAATCAATCCAAATCCAGTTTTAAAAAAAACCTTTTAATGGACTTATGTGTAGCAAAATATATGATCTAAAATTCAAATTTTAGGCTAGGTTGACCTGGAAGCCCAAGGTCAAAAATCAAAATCTGCCCCAATGACAATATACAACGGAAGACCTTCCAGTCAACAGCAAGTGTCTAGCTCATGGGCTACCAAGGTACTTTAATATAACCTTGAAATAATATATTCATTTTCTGAAATCTTCTAGATCTGTTTCTTGAGCTTCTTCAGGTGTAGGTGTAACCGCAGTGTAGTGACTAGAAGCTTGCCTGACGGCAGATCGAAGTTCTTGGGTTCAAATCTGTATCAACTCTTGAAATTTTAAAAATGAAGCTTGGCTATGAGGTTGATCCAGTCTTAAATGGATACCAAGTAAAGTCCTGGGAAGTAATATTGATCACATCACACTGACTGAGTGACAATTGGTAAATTAAAATATAGGTCTAGCACTACATATACAGGAAGCTGCTTTGCTGTAGCGGCTAGATCCTCGCCTGCAGATGAAAAGGTCGTAGGTTCAGGTCCCGATGGAGCCATACTTTTTTTCTTCAAAAATGACCTTGACTGCTAGGTCGATCCAGCCTTGATTGAGTACCAGGTACCGTCCTGGAAAGTAAAGATGGCCGGCAGAATGTTGACCACATCACCCATCGAGCTCTGACTGGTCTATAAAATATTGGCCCCATAAGCCTGTGGAAAAGTTTCTTTACTTCACTATGTACACAACAGGCTAAGGGCACAGAAAATACACCTCTTAGCATCACATGACTGAAGTGCCAAAGGTGGGAAAAGGTCCTTTACTTTACTATAGAAACATGATACGGATACAAGAACTGCTACCCACACTTTTATCACAGACCATCCACCTTCCATTTTAATAATTAAACACAACAGTTAATACACCTCTACTTTCCTTCAAGTTAAATGCCTAAGAGGCATGGGACAGTTAATATAAATAACATGCATATCTTCTTTTCTTCGAAGCTAAAGTCACCTGTTTGAGAGGCAAGTAACCAACAATCTGCATACAAATAAGCCAGATTTGTAAAATGAATTTGCAGGTAAAACTCAAGTTCAGAAACAAGATTTAAAATCTAGAAGAGGATGAACAGCCAGACTTTCTGCTGAAGTTCACAACCAGTTAACACAAAGATGATATCTCCTTCTAATTCTTCTGCATCCACCCTTAACTCTACCAGACCTGAGGCCTGGAACCTAACTGTCCCCTATACCTGGGCTCCTGGGCATTAAAGCGATAAACTAACATGATATATACAAATATTAGTTACATGCAAAGAAGTGGTTAGAATAAGATGAAATGTGGAGACATTTCATAATTTTTTTTTTCACGTTAAACCACACAAAGTCAATCAAAACAAATGGGGGCAGCCATTTGCAATGACTAACCATGAGGTTTGACCACAATTGGTTGGTTATTTTTAGTCTGTAATGCATTTTTTTCAAATAGTAAGCAAAGTACCATAAATTAGGTTTAGTCACAGATTAGGAAATTACCGGAAAAGCTGTACAATGGTCTAGTATAGGTAAGACCTGATTAGTCCACATTTTACAACATGCTTGTTAGGAAGCAGTTGGTCTTTTCCTCACCTCCTCTCTATCAAAAAGTTAAGTCCTGGAACCCACACAGGGAAAATGCATACCTACAGCTCTGTCAAAACTTTTAATGGCAGCTCCAACAGCCGTCTCAAGCTGTATCACATTCATGCCGTTGTCAAGTGTCTGAAACAGACCACACACAAATGAAGGCAAATTCTGACAAACATTGATGTTAATGGTGGTTGTGTTTGAAGCAAATTTAAACATATGAGTTTCTGTTAGAATGTTGAATTAAGAATGAACTTCACAGCACTCAGGACACTCCCATAAGCGCTCCATCCTCATCTTCAGCAGCAAGCAAGGAGTTTCAATTCACATGGCACCAGTAAATGATTGTATTTCCGTCTCACCCCTCCGGTGAGTGTTGACCAGATCGCCTGGTAACTCCTCGCAGCGCCATTCTCCTCAGAACGCAATAATCTATCTGTGCCTCTGTACTGTTCACTTGCCCCCAAATGGCCCTCACAATATCTAGCTTGTCATGAGTTGCTGGTAAAGAATGACTAATAAAAAATGGAAGAAACATCATGGGAACTTCTAAAGTGATAAGCAAAGAAACATTAAATGACACATCTTGTGTACAGTTTCCATTATATATACAATATAAACTGGGAGCTGTCGTACTGTAGTGGCTAGATGCTTGCTTGCTGGTTTAAAAGTCTTGGGTTTAAATCTACATCAAGTCAGATTTGTTTTTCAAAACTTATCTTAGTTCCCAGGTCAACTCAGCCTAACTTGGGTACCCAGCACTAACCTGGGAAGTAAAGGTGGCCAGCATGATGTTGACCACATCCCCTGCATCGAGTTCTGATTGGCCCTCACTGTAGTGTAGTGACTAGATAGTGGACAAAGTTCTTGGGTTCAAATCTGCATTGACCCTTGATATTTTAAAACTGAAGCTTGGCTCCCAGGTTGACTGGGGTGCCTACTGCACCACTGGCATAACAAAAAGTTCCTTTACTTAGTCTTCTTCTTCTTAAAGTCTACGCCATCTGGTGTTGGTAGTCATATCTATCCACAACCTTCTGTCTTGTGTACTTTCAATCTGACACAGATGATCCTCTATGCCATGATGTCAAACTGTCCAGCATATTTTTGCTCGGTCTTTCCTTCCCTCCAACTTTCCTACTGTCACGATGTACTCAAATTTTCTTCTTCTCATCACATGACTAAAGAATGTAGATTGTATCTTCTGATGTAGGCAATCAGTTCTCTTTGTGAGTCAGTTTCTTTCAAGACGTCTTTACTTAGTCTAATTTACAATATTAACTCTCTCAGCACCAGAAGATTTTGTTAGACATGCCTATGGCTTCATACCCACAATAAAACCGGGTCTGTAACTTTCATAGAGGTAGCATTTACTGTGCAATATGTGACAATATCTGGCCAGGTTTCTGCTCGGTCTAAATTTAAATCAAACAATATCACAACAGGGATCTATTGCAACATAATGGTAACATCGCCGAAAACACAGGATGTGCTGCTTGGGACAGAAACAGTTAACCACTCTTACATAACAGTTACTTGTAATTAACTCACAGAGTATGCTGAGAACGGTGGAAACAGGCATGCTCCGTGCAGAGTGGCACGCATCACTTCAGAGATCCCTGGTAGTTAGCATCCTTTTGATATATTTCTAAGATATGCCGGTGTGTTGGGAAATGAGCAGACAGATCAAACTGGCTAGTTTTTTGGTGGTGAACTGATGTATGACAAGCTAGATGTGTGAGGGAGTGAGTGAACAGTGAGGAGGCACAGATAGATCATTATTGTCTGAGGAGAATGGCGCTGAGAGGAGTTACTTAACACTCAAGGGAAAGGCAAGGCAGATATACAATCAGTTACTGCCACTAGAACTGGAACTCTTTGCTAAGATGGGGATGGAGTGTCTCGAGTGCTGTGATGTCAATTCTTAGATCAACATACAACAGTTACTGAATAGACTGTTAAATGAACATCAAAAGTACATCAGAAATGAAACTCTGACCTTTGGGTTCAGGATAATCTCCATGTGTAGTGTCTCATCAAGAATAACTCTCTTCATTGCTGCCAGACTTATCCATAAATTGTTTGTATTGAAAATCCTATGTAAGGAAAAAATCAAATATTCTTTTGTGCACAGGTGGGCGTCTTAGTCAAGTAATCAAATATTCTTTTGTGTACAGGTGGGCCTCTTAGTCAAGTAATCAAATATTCTTTTGTGTACAGGTGGGTGTGTTAGTCTTAGTCAAGGTTTCAACTTCACTGCAATTGGGTTTCCCCATACATGCTCCGTTCCTGTGCCAGTAAAAATCAAATGAAATGTCCCTTATTGTCCCATTTGAAAAACTGGTGAACAAACAAACAATCAGCCCCGGTACTATCCAGAAATATGCGCACACAGTAAATGTATATGGCAATTACTAGAGGCACCAAAGCCAACAGTCACCACCAGAAATGCAGTTTGTCACTTTGCAAGTAGTCGGGTATGATAAGTTGGCTTTACACACACAGAATTATAAAGTATCTCACCAGCTCACATGTAAACCGGCAATCAGCCATACTGAAATATCCCAACACAACCACTGCACGAATGAAAGGTATTCCGCATGAAGAACACAGCTAACAGGACTGCACCAAGCACTAAACAGTAGCTCAGACTGTCCAAATGTGGAAACTGCATTAGCAAAGCGGTGTCGGAAGCAAAAAATAACTTCAAAGCCAAACATTCTTACTGGATGTTAAGTAGGGATAGTACATTCTCACTATTATCCTTTGTGGATTTATACATTAATTAGGGCTTGCAGTCTACACCTCTGTTCCACTCTATCCTGTACAGTACTTTCGACAACCTGGATGGAATCCAATCCAGCCTCTGGCCTCCCTCAATAAGATGCGTTTTAAGGTTTCTCTCGGACGTTCTCATTTTCCCCAATCAATGTTTTTCCTATTTCAGTGCCTGTTTAGTAATTCCCTGTCTGCTGCCCCTCATGATGTACCCAAAACACGAAAATAATTTTTTTTTTGATTGGAGGAAGGAGAGAGCTGGCTTGAGAATCAGCTTTACACACATGCCGTAATTGTAACTGACTCACAGGGCATGTTGAGAAAGGTGGAGACAGGCATGTTCCTGCAGAGCAGCAAGCATCCCTTCAGAGGTCCCGGGTTGTTAGCATACTTTGGATATTTTCTCCAGGTTGTGCCGGTGTGTTGGGAAATGAGCAGGCAGATAGACTGGCCGGTTCTTCACCACTTGGTGGTGAAGTGATGTATGACCAGCTGGATGTTGTGAGGGCCCTTTGGGAGCTAGTGAACAGTGCCGAGGAACAGACAGATCATTGCGGTCTGATGAGAAGGCACTCTGAGTAATTACAAGGGGATCTGGCCGACACTCGACACTCAGGGAAAAGGCGAGACGGACATACAATCAGACAGTTACTGGTACCATCGGAATTTAAACTCTTTGCTTGCTGCTGAAGATGGGGACGGAGCGCTTATGGGGTTGTCCCAAGTGCTGTGATGTCTATTCTTAATTCAACATTCAACATATGATATACAAAATATACTGCCATCTTCTTTTTCTTATTTACTGTTAATACAAGTAGTTGTCCATACATTTATTTTATTTCTTTGCCTTTCTTGAATTCAATTTAATGTTCATCAGTTCATCATCAGCTCAGATATTTGTTTCTGAATGCACTTAACTTTTGTTCCATGTCTTTAGTGGTGCCCCAACTGTCACTGGCATATGTTAACACTGAAATACCATCAGAATTAAAAATATGTGGCTTGATTTTAAAATGTGAGAAGAATCACACAGAGGAAAAGGTGCCAGAGCTGATATCACTAGGTTAAACCAAAGAAGAAAAAGAAGATATATATATATATATATAAATTTATATCTTGGCATCTTTGTGTCAATGTTTAAGTACCTGGGTACCCTGATAACATCAGATGGAAGATGTATTTAAGAAGTTACATGTAGAATAGCTTAAGCAAAGGCAGCATTCTACAAAATGAGGAACATTTTATGCACTCTTTCTCTGACCAATTGAGACGAGAAAAAGAATTCTTAGCTATATAAATCCTATCTTGATATATTGAAGTGAATCAGGAGCATTTGGTAAATTAGTGAACACTTTTTTGGAAGGTGCAGAGATGTGGTTTTATAGAGGAACGATAAGAATACCCTGGACAGATAAAAAGAGTAATGAAGATAAATTGAAAGAAACTGACTCACGAAGGGAACTGATTGCACACATCAGAAAGAGACAATCTACATTCTTTTGCCATGTGATGAGAAGAATAAAACTGGAGTACATCACGACAGTAAGAAAGTTGGAGAGGGAAGGAGAGGGAAGGAGAGGCAGAGGGAGTCCTAGAGAAATGATGCCTAACCCTGACATCATGACATAGATGATCATCTGTATTAGAGTAACTGAAAGTACACAAGACAGAAGGTTGTGAATAAACATGACTACCACATGGCATGGACTTTGAGAAGAAGAAGAGGAAGCCAAAAATAGCATCTGCCTTTTGTTTGATAGTTTGTTACACATACAAGCTAAATTACACCACTATCTATAATAAATTTAAGAAACGTTAATAAGCTAAATGGATAGTTTATGATGATGAAAATTAATTATGTCAGTCTTACTTGAACTTGCTCACACTTTTGAATTCATCTACCTGCAAAACAATAATCCAAAATTATTTCAAATATACCAGTTACGTATTAGTTTGGTGTATGTGTGTGTGTATGCTTGTGTGTGTGTGTTTCTTTGAATTAAAAAAAACATGTGTGTGTGTGCAAATCTAGATAACAGGAAAGTCAACATTTCCAATAATTATATTATGGGATTGAACAAATAAAGAAAGCTAGCCAGCCCCTGAAGACAAGCTAGCCTGCTGGTCCAGATGATATCCCAGTAGAAGCCATTAAAGCCAGCATAAACACATCTATGGAACTGCTAAATAAATTATTAAATAAAGTCTGCGAAATAGGAGATGGAAGTTTTAAGCAAGATAATGTTTGAAAGATTAAGAGATGCCATTAATAAAACAATTAGGAAGTTAACAGGCAGTTTCAGATAAAAAAATTCTAACTAAAACAAGAGGTACCAAAATGCTGACCAGAAAGCCAAGCTATGCATAAAAATAGAGCAAAATAACACAATAAGACAAGTATGCATGCTGGAGAACATTGGACGAGGAGAGGAGTGGGTCATAGTACCAGCATGAAAGTCTGACCTGTGTAGGATTATGATAACATTTGGCCAGAAGTGCACAGAGTGGTCAGCGGGTGCTATGAAGGTTGCAGTCCAACAGTTGATTCACGACAATTCTCGCCCAGGTGATCTGATTATCTATACAGATGCTTCAGTATTGAGAGGAAAGAGATGTGCCTGGGAATTCGTAGCGAAAGCCAATGGAAAATCTTTAGTGCAAGACAGCCTGGCATGAGAATGGAGGTGGAGGCAGTAACTGCAGCTCTCCGGTGGCTAGAGAACAAGATGCATACACATGTCGTAGTAGTAATTGTAACAGACTCTGAAAGCATGCTGAAAAAGGTGAAGACAGGGATGCTTCGAGCAGAGTGGCTAGCTTCACTGGAAAGGTCACGGGTAGTGAGCATACTTTGGATCTTTTTGCCAGGCCATGCCGGCATGGTGAGTAATGAACAGGCAGACAGATTGGCTGGATCCGCACCACTGGGTGGTGAATTGATACATGACAAGGCAGATGTGGTCAAGGGCCTTTGGGAACAAGCAACGGAATAAGTAGAGAAACAAGATTATTATGGCCTGGAGAGAATGAGGCACCTGGGTGTAACTAGAGGGTTTGGCTTGCTCTCTACACTCAGAGAAAAGGCAAGACAGACTTTTAACCAGATTGTGTCCGGTACCATCAGTATTAGAACTCTGTGCTGGCTGCTGAAGATGAGGATGAAGCATGCATGGGAATGCCCCGAGTGCTGTGATGTCAATTCTTGACTCACCTAAACTCAACTCAGAGCAAAATGTTGACTATAACTAGCAACTTTACACTGGATTCATGGATTGTGAAAATTCTTTGACAGCACTGATAGGGAATATCTCCGGAAATTGATGCGACAAATACTACTCCAAGATGTGGAGTTGTCCACCTATTAAGGTAGTAATGTAAACAAAGATGGGGAGGGGGGGAGGGGGTGAGGCAATGGGGGACTAACAGAGATATGCATACAAAAGATGTGAGGCGTTCTTATAGAGGACATCTGTGGAAGTCAAAGATATCAAAACTAGGACCAAAATTTAAAAAATTTATCTCTAATGTCAAAGAATTACTTTTGCATGGGGGAAAACATACAGAACAACAATATCAACTACTAATAAACTACCAACATTGTTTAACACAGAATGGAATAAAATGATGCGACAGAATCACTATGTGGAGCTTTGGGAGAGAACCAAACAAATTCTAGTGAGTCAGGAGACGAGGGAAAGAAGCTGGTGTTGTACAGGATTTATGCTAAGAAAACCTTAGAATAATATAAGTGTACAAATGTGTGTATGCATGTCTGTATACACACACACACACACACACACACACACACACACACACACACACACATATATATATATATATATATATATATATATATATATATATATATATATATATATATATATATATATATTCATTCATTCCTTATCCTGTTGTGCCATTATATTTCACACAGTGCTCCTAGTGTATTCCTCCATTCCATTCTATCCTGTGTTATCAGTTCAATATCATGGATGGAATCCAGCCCAGCAGCTTTAGCCTTTCTTCATTCATCTTAGAGTTTCTTTTGGGCGTCATCGCCTCCTTTACCTCCTTTTTTAATGCCTGTTTGGTGATTTTCAGCATGTATCCAATGTAGCGCCATCTTCTCTGTCTCATAACTGTTGGTACTAGTGGTTGCCCAGACATTTCTCTTATTTCTTCACTCCTTTTGAATTCATCCCATGTTATTTTAATTATTTTCCTCAGACATTTGTTTTTGAATGCACTTAACTTTTGTTCCATGTCTTTAATGGTTCTCCAACTTTCACCTGCATATGTTACAACTGAAATAACATTAGAATTGAAAATTGGTAACTTGCTTTTAAAACTATACAATTTAGAGTTCCATATTTTGTTCAAGCCATTAAAAGCTGCCGATGTTTTGCCAATGCATGTCACAATTTCTTTCTTTGTATTTCCTTCACTATCAAAATTACTATCTAAATAGGTAAATTGATCTTTTACTTTAACTACTTTTGTCTCTAGTATTACATCTGCTTGATCTGTTGTGATTTATATACATAAATATATATGTATGTGTGTGTGTGTGTTTGTGTGCATGTGCGCACGTGCGTGTGTGTGTGTAACATACACACACTTAATAAAGGGTTCAGCTAATGACAGATCAAGAATAGGGTGTTTCAACAGAGCTGGCAATATTTGCAGTTTTCAGTTGGTACATCCTGTCATTTCTGGGTCCGGGCTTTCCTTTTCATGTCGTTTTAAAACAATATTTAACTGCCTCACAGGGCTGACATCATTTCCACCCCTTTCATTCTCACATTTACATAGCACCCAGAACATTTATTCATTGTCCGATCGTACCATTATATTTCACACAGGGGGTTCCCAGTCTATTCCCCCCCCCCCCCCCCCCCCCCCCTTCTATCCTGTGCAATAAGTTCAATATCATGAATGAGATCCAGTCCAGCAGCTTTGGTTTCTCTCATCTTTCACTTTAGGGTCTTCCTTGGATTTCTTGTTTCCTCAATCCCTCTATTTCCATTTCAATGCTTATTTGGTGATTCTCTACTTGCTTATTCTCAAAAATGGGTTCAATACACTATCTTCTCTATCATATAAGTGTTGATACTAATCTTTGCCCAGATATTTCTCTTATATCTTTATCCCATTTTATGGTCATCATTCCCTCAGGTTAACAGGATCATTTAAAAAAATAGGTTTAAATGTCTGAGGATCTGCATGTAATCACATAGGATGATTATGTAATCACAAAAGATCATTGTGCACTTACACAGAATCAGCCTGTACTGTCTCAGGGCTGGTATGCAATAACACAGAATTGGTATGAGAAGATAAGGTTCTGTAGTTAATTAATTGCACAGGTGTTATATGTGCTCTTAGAGGGTAACACATCCTACCAAGTGTCCAGAGTGTATTACTTACTCCAGTCACACACAAGACCACTGCTGGAGAGCAAGGAGAGGCCAATGACAATAGGGAGCACAACAATAAGCCAGGCACACATAACAAGTCAATAACATGTCCTATCGTAACCATCAATCCTGTCTAAAAACGCTGTAATACAATCCATTACATCAAGTAGTGTGATCAGCCTCTTTATTATGGACCAACACATTGCAATAAAGATAAATTGGTGATCCATGACTTACTGTCAAGTTTACTACTGCTCCCAAAGTAAACTCATATCAGCAGTCTCAAGAACATGGACGAAACACCCCAGCAGTCTATGTACAGGTGCCTGCTAAGGGCAACTCATGCCCGATCACGCAGATACACCTAGGTGATGTGCAGTGACAGTCCTTTGACGGCTTTTCCTCTAAGAGACCCTACCACTTGAGGGTCCAAGGCAGATGCATCACTTGGCAAAAAAAATCCAGACCTCCAGTCTGCTCCCCAGTCACTCGTTGAAGTATCACTGATTAACCTCCAGTTAACCACGGCCATCTGTTTTAACTAAGGGCCTCCGCTCTCGTTCGACCAACATTCCTGATACCTCCCCTCCCCATCACAACTCCATGTTGGTCAACACACACACATTTACCACAGCACCTTCTGTAGCACGTAAAGACACCCCACAGACCAGCATGCCAAACAGCTGAAATTTTGCCGACCCCACACACACGTGGTCCGACAACCATCCATTCTAGGAAATCAAAATGACAGCATTCGGAAGTACAACTTATGATCCACCACCTTCATTGGACAGTTCACCCAAACTCCAATAAAATAAAACACTGTTAAAACTGTCACATGGGACTTTAACAATTTGTGCACACATCTACACACTTAAGACTGACTGAAAGTGACTGACTCACTCAAAATACCACAGGATTTTTCCCACATGCCATCCATTCAGCGTGATTCTCACTTTCTCACCAAAACCCGGGATTCACAATCCACCCATGCTGTCAACCCACATGGATCCAACAATATCCATGATGGACCGTGGTAACATGTCCATAAGCCCGTCATGAACTTTTAAGTATCCCGTGTGGCTTCCGGGGCCCTATTATAGGGAAAACAAGAATAGACCCACTGCCTACCCAAAAGCATGTTGTAAGAGCCGACTATTGGAAGCTTCCTTCGAAGCCGGAATGCATCTGCCTGAGAGGCAAGGAACCAGCAGTCTGCATACAAATAAGTCAGATCTGTAAAATGGATGCACATGCAACACTCAGGTTCTGGAACAGGACTGCAGTCCAGAAGTGGATGAACAACCAGAACCTTCCACCGGAGTTTACAGCTGGTGAACACGAAGAAGAAGAAGATGAACTTTAAGTGACTCATGTTTCCCCAGCTGTGAGTAGCTCATGCTCCACACTCTTCCAGTGGCCCCAAATGTTTACATTCACAACCTGTCAACACAAAATCAATGACTGTGCGTACCTATGCTTCACAAAGCCCAGGCTTCCTTAACACCTTACACATCACAGCCACTATCACATACAACAACAGGATCAATGTCCAATCACACAGATAGATTCAGTATGTACTAACATAAGATCAGTGTGTGCATACATCAGATTAGTGTTACTGACAAAGGATCAATATGCAATCATAAAAGATCAGTATGTGCTAACAATGGATCAGAATGTAATCACATGAAATCAGCAAGCAAGGACTTAGCATGCACTTACATGATCTGAAGGAACTTGAGCCAACTCTAACAGGCGAAGCTTCCCATCATACTCAATCAGTGTACCACCCTAAAATGTGAAGGCAGCAAACAATGCAATTACAATTGAATAAACAGGCTGTAATCTTCTTCTTCTTCTTCACTGGCTGTAAACTCTTGTGGAAAGTTCTGGTTGTTCGTCCACCTCTGGACATTAGTCTTATTCCACAATCTGACGTTTGTGTGCACATCCATTTTACAGATCCAACTTACATGTATGCAGATTGTTAGTTCAATCTCAGCCAGTTAGTTGACACTTACAACATGCTTGTTAGGGATGCAATGGGTCTATTCTTGTTTTCCCCACAATGGGGTCCTGGTACCCACACTGGGAGACACAGGCTGTGATGACAATAATAATAAAAGGTAAACATTAGTAGAATAAGATGGTGATTTGCTGGGCACATTCTGAGATAAGGAAAACAGAATCAAAAAACAGGTTCTACAATAGGAAATAAATGGATTGAGGAAGTCAGGAGGTCCAAGAGAAATCCTAAGATGAATGTTGATGTGAGAGACTAGAGGTAATGAACTGGATTCCGTACACAATACTGTTTGGATTGCACATTACAGAACAGAGAGGAATGATGAATGGAACAGCATGTGATGAAACATAAATTTGATCTGATGAAATGAATAGCACACGATGAAAGAGACAGAAATGTCTTATGTATTGTGTATGACAGGAATAGAAATGGTGTAGCTATATAGCGGCTAGACAAACATCTGCGGATTGGAAGGTCATGGGTTCAGGTCCTGGCTGTACCTCACTTTATCGACAATTAACCTTGGCTCCCAGGTGGACCCAGCCTTGAGCGGGTAGCAGGTAAAGTCCTGGGAAGTAAAGATGGCCAACAGGATGCTGATGACATCAGCCACTAAGTGCTGATTAGTCTATAAAATAAAGATCTAGCCCTATATGCCCAACAAGCCTGAAGGCGTGGAGAAGGATCATTTACTTACTTTTACTCAACTATGTAACATATATGAAAGGAGGAGTAATATCTCATGTAATGTGTTGAAAGGTAGCACAAGATGAAGAGATGTCTAATTTAACATAAATGACAGGAATAGAAACATCTTATGTAACATATATGAAAGGAATAGAAACATGTCATGTAACATATATGAAAGGAATAGAAACATCTCATGTAACATATATGAAAGGAATAGAAACATCTCATGTAACATATATGAAAGGAATAGAAACATCTCATGTAACACATATGAAAAGAATAGAAATGTCTCATGTAACATATATGAAAGGAATGGAAATGTCTCATGTAACATATATGAAAGGAATATAAATGTCTCATGTAACATATATGAAAGGAATAAAAATGTCTCATGTTGGTATATCCGTATCCAGGTCTGCCTATTCTTCTCTTTCCCTGTACAGAACCCTGTGGTATTGATTTTGAGAGGCCGTTAGATATTATTACATATCTGTACAATTGCATTTTCTGTCTTTTCATTGAAGTTAAAAGAGTATCATAGATGCCAATGTGCTGGGTACTTATATGATGAACCTCTTCAATCGTGATGTGGTGAAGTAAGCAGATACTGCTTCTCAAAGCGACTAGAAAGGCTACATTATGCATAATTATTAAGAAAAAAATTACAAGAATAATAACTGTCTGCTTGGCTTAAGCACAAATTAATGTAATTTTGTACCTTCACGTCTGCTCTTGTCTTGTCTGTGACCTCCATGACAAACTCTGAAGCTGTACTTTCTTGTGTGCCAAGTAGAAAATTCAAAATATCTGACCATGGTTAAAGATTCAGTATATTAATATCAGCAAGCAGCTTTTGTGTACAGTTTAACTAATGTCACTCTGGGTATCAGTTTATCAACGGTGATTTTGTGTACTTAAGTTAATCTAGTATCATTCTGTGCACCCAGTGTAACTTGTCATTTTTGTGCAGTTTATTTAATCCAGTGGTCTCTAACCTTTTTTTTCAGATCACGTCCCCTTGAGCATGTGGCAAGACCTCCACGCCCTCTTGAGTATATTGCAAGACACCCATGCTCCACTTGAGTATGTGGCAAGACCTCCACACCCTCTTAAGTATATTGCAAGACACCCATGCTCCCCTTGAGTATGTGGCAAGACCTCTACGCCCTCTTGAGTATATTGCAAGACACCCATGCTCCCCTTGAGTATGTGGCAAGACCTCTACGCCCTCTTGAGTATATTGCAAGACACCCATGCTCCCCTTGAGTATGTGGCAAGACCTCTACGCCCTCTTGAGTATATTGCAAGACACCCATGCTCCCCTTGAGTATGTGGCAAGACCCCTACAGCCTCTTGAGTATATTGCAAGACACCCATGCTCCACTTGAGTATGTGGCAAGACCTCTACAGCCTCTTGAGTATATTGCAAGACACCCATGCTCCCCTTGAGTATGTGGCAAGACCTCTACAGCCTCTTGAGTATATTGCAAGACACCCATGCTCCCCTTGAGTATGTGGCAAGACCTCCATGCCCTCTTGAGTATATTGCAAGACATCCATGCTCCACTTGAGTATGTGGCAAGACCTCCATGCCCTCTTGAGTATATTGCAAGACATCCATGCTCCCCTTGAGTATGTGGCAAGACCTCCACGCCCTCTTGAGTATATTGCAAGACACCCATGCTCCCCTTGAGTATGTGGCAAGACCTCCACGCCCTCTTGAGTATATTGCAAGACACCCATGCTCCCCTTGAGTATGTGGCAAGACCTCTACAGCCTCTTGAGTATATTGCAAGACACCCATGCTTCCCTTGAGTATGTGGCAAGACCTCCATGCCCTCTTGAGTATATTGCAAGACATCCATGCTCCACTTGAGTATGTGGCAAGACCTCCATGCCCTCTTGAGTATATTGCAAGACATCCATGCTCCCCTTGAGTATGTGGCAAGACCTCCACGCCCTCTTGAGTATATTGCAAGACACCCATGCTCCACTTGAGTATGTGGCAAGACCTCCACGCCCTCTTGAGTATATTGCAAGACCCCTATGCTCCCCTTGAGTATGTGGCAAGACCTCCACGCCCTCTTGAGTATATTGCAAGACACCCATGCTCCCCTTGAGTATATGGCAAGACCCCCATGCCCTCTTGAGTATATTGCAAGACATCCATGCTCCCCTTGAGTATGTGGCAAGACCTCCACGCCCTCTTGAGTATATTGCAAGACACCCATGCTCCCCTTGAGTATGTGGCAAGACCTCTACACCCTCTTGAGTATATGGCAAGACCCCCATGCTCCCCCTTGAGTAAGTGGCAAGACCTCCACACCCTCTTGAGTATATTGCAAAAACTCCAAGCCCCCCCCCCCCCCCCCCCCTTTCCACCCTTCCCCTGTTTAACCAATCATTTTTACATATTCAGTTTACTAAGTCACTTCTATACATACAGTTCACCTGATGTCATTTTGTACAAAGTGTACTCAATATAACAACCTACAATGCACTGATTCTAATAATAGATTATCTAGGATCTTCTTTCACTCTCTCTCTCATAATGCATTACCATTTCAAAAATTATATAAGTTGTGTGTGATATGTACATATAAGTGTGTGTGTGTGTGTGTGAGTGAATGCATACATGTATGTGTGTGTGAGTGTATGCATGCAACTGAGTGAATGTGACAGTATGTTTGTTTATTTATGCATATGTATGTGTGTACGTGCATGCATGCAAGATCATGAGTGTATGCATGTGTGTGTGCATGCATGCATGAGTTTGAATGTATGTATGTGTATTATTGATGTAAATGTATGTATGTAAAAAGGTAAAGGTAAAGGTAAAGTCGGGAGATGTTAACCAGTGTCATTGCACATGGTTATAAACCATAAGTGCTACGTCACCAGTATGGACAGCTGATAAGAAACTATCCGCCTGTGATGCCGTCCGCATGCAGCTCCGTAGCTACAGTCATGTTCCTCCATTTACCCCAGAGTGTTACCTCTGGTACCCATTTCCTAGAGGCTGGGACAACCTCGGGAACTGCCCTGTTCTGAACACCAGCTGTGGGCTGCAGAGAGTTGCAGTTGGATTTGAAAGTGAGCCTCCTATCGACTGCGCTATCGACCTGACGAGAATGCCGTGGTACCAACTGCACCAAAGAGCCACACTGAAGAAATATAATGAACATAGAGCAAGGGGAAGATCAAGCTAGAGATGGAGTGACACCATCAAGAGTAACCTGACAGAAATGAACACCAACTTGTCAATGCAGCAGGTGAAATCAAAGGAAAGAGCCAACAGAATGGCCATGTCTGCAGTGGTTGGCGGAGAAAGAAGTATGGACAGGGCAGAATGTGCCGCGGCCCAGAGACGCTTAGATAAGGAAACCAGTGACTCCAAACTGCCTATTGGAAATGGGTAATAAATCATGATAAGCATGCAGAAGCTGGCTGCAGGACAAAGAAAGAAGATATTCCAATCAACTACTGCTGGGTATGTTGACCATGCAAACACTGAGATGGTTGCTGCATGAATGGGGTCAGACCAATATACTAGGATATCAGTATAGATAACAAGTAATTCAAATCCACGTAGGGATCTAATTTACTCTAAATCATTGGCCTTAATGGTAATTCAAACCTACATTCACAAAGCCATTTGACATATGTTAGCCATTATACTACCACTGATTTAACCAGTCATTTTGTATACAGTTTAACCAGCCATTTTGTGTACATAGTTTAACAAGTCATTTTGTGTACACAGTTTAATGAGCCATTTTATGTATACAGTTTATCTAGTGGTAAAATCCTTTATCAACTCTTTCAGTCCCAAACAACAAACCATGTATGACTGGATTTACTCATATGCACCAGAATACATATTATTAAGCTTGTACATGTGTATTTTGGAGAAGGAAATATATGTTAATGAGGAAAGATTGGAAGTGGTGGAAAATTTCGAATATCTTGAGTCACTGGTTACCAACAATGGTGACACAATGAAAGAAATTAAACGGCGACTGTCAATTGCTCTTCAAAGACTAAAACAACTGAATAAATTATGGAATTGCACAGATAGAATTACAAAGGTCAGATTTTTAAGAGCATGCATCTTTCCCATTGCAACATACGCCTGTGAGACCTGGACACTTACTAAACAAGCGGAACAGCGCATAAATGCATTTGAATATAAATGTTACAGACAGGTTCTAAGAATATCTTGGGTAAAGAAAAGAACAAATGCATCCATACTTCAAGAGCTGAATATTGAAGAGGGTTGGCTAGTAAAGACAATAAAACAAAGAAAATTGAAATATTTTGGTCACTTGAAACGTCATGGAAGTCTAGAGAGAACAATAATGGAGGGGTATATGCCTGGGAAGAGAGGAAGAGGAAGGCCAAGGAGAAGATGGGTGCAGGATGTGGCAGATGATCTCCAGATGGGTGTATCAGACGCAGGACATCTTGCTCAGGATAGGAAGGTTTTCCGGAGGGTTGTTATGGCTGCGAGGTTCCGCGAGGGACATGCTACTGAATGAATGAATGAATGACATGTGTATTTGGGCCCTGTGGATGTAGTATACCCATAATTTAGTTGGTGTCACAAACGACTCACTGAGGTACCAACTGTGATCAAATAAGATGAAAATAGTTAAAATCATCCTAAACTTCTTGTATTCTAAGAACAACAAACTTCTTCAATAGATACGAGATTCTTCAAACTATATCCAATACATCAATGCTCTTTCCCTTTTACCATGCAATTAATAACATATCAGTAAATGACTGATCAGCTAACACTGAGGTAACGATAATAGTAAGGATACTCAGGTCCACAGTGGCTCCCATGTTGTCAATGTTGGAGACAAAAATATATTTCTTGCCCTCGCTGATGAATTTGTCCAGCAGGCCCGAGTTGTAGAAGGAGTAGTAAACATCACCATGGCCTGGTGGGTACCAGCTGCAGATAACAAAACAGTTTACAGATTCTTCTTCTTTATCATGTTTACCAGCCATAAACTCCAGCGGACAGTTCTGGTTGTTTGTCCATTTCTGGACTGTGGTCTTGTTCCAGAACTTGAGTTTTGTGTGCTAATCCATTTGACAGGTTTGGCAGAATGTTACTCCTTGCCTCTCATGCAGATTCACTCTGACTAGAAGGAAACTCTCCTGATTAGCTGACATTTACAAATTCTTGTTAGGTATACAGGGGGTCTTTTTCCTCCTCCTCTTCTTGTTCTTCTTCTTCTTCCTTGCATTTACCAGCTGTAAACTCTGGCAGTAAGTTCTGGTTATTCATCCACTTGTGGACTGCAATCCTGTTCCAGAACATGAGTGTTGCATGTGCATCCATTTTACAGATCTGACTTTTTTGTATGCAGACTGCTTGTTACTTGCCTCTCAGGCAGGTGCACTCTGACTTTGAAGGAAGCTATCAAGTAGTTGACTCTTACGACATGCTTTTGGGTAGGCAGTGGGCCTATTCTTTTTTCCCCCTCTAAAATTGGGCCCCGGAACCCACACAGGGATTTTTTCCTCCTAAAATGAGGCCCCAGAACCCATACAGGAAGTTTACAGATTCAAAGCAATGACTTCACCATGTAAATTTCTTCCTCTTTTGCACCATTCATCCAGTGATGTACATGTGTTATGTCAGATTAAAGCACATCTGCCCTTTTTGCACCTTTTGGATGCCTTTGCAGCCTCTTCAGGAATTCGTTATCTGGGTTATCCTTCCTAGTTAGTTTCGTGGGGCATTAGTAGCCCCATCTGTGTGGTGACTCATCATAGCCTTATCCACAGGTACTACTCCTAGAAGACCCCCTGAATTGAATGGGTTAGGGAAGTAAATTACAAGACCCTTTATACCGCAGGCGCATACGGCAAATGGTACTAGATGCATATTTTTAAAGACTAAACAGAACTTGGTGTGTAATATCAACACCATGTTGGCAGTCTTTACTTCCCAGGTGAATTCCAGGCTACCGCTGTAAGCTGGGTTGACTTGGAACCCTAAATTAATTAGACAAATCCACACCAATGCAGATTCTACTCAACATCTTCAGCTAGCATCTGTGGCTAACAAATAATCAGCAAACGAGGTACTTAAAAATCTTCTTTTTCTTAGTACTCACTAGGCATTAACTCCAGGGGAAAATTTCTAGATGTCCGCCCACTCCTAGACTCTGGTCTTGATTTAGAACTTGGGTTTTGCATGCACATACCGGTAATAGATCTCATTTATTTGTATGCAGACTATTGATTCTCAGGTAGACGCATTTATATTTTGAAGGAAATATAATTAATTTGGCAGTGGGGGGGGGGGGGGGGGGGGGGGGGGGGGGGGGGGGGGGTTTTATTTTTCTCTGTTTTCCGAAACAGAGCCCCGGAACACACACAGGAACCTGAACAATTTAAACTCCCCAGAATATTTCACTATTCACACAGATGCACAATACAGAATTTAACTCAATGTCCAATGGAGTTTAAAGGCACAGGTATTAATCCGGTTTGAGTAAGCTTTTTGTTTTGATCTCAGCACTCAGTTTAGCCCAGCCCAAAATGGGTAGCGTAGAAAGTCCTGGGAAGTAAAGATGGCTGCTGTGATGATGACCACATCACCCACTAAGTGTCAACTGGTCTATTATCATATGCCTGATGTGCTTCTGGTGGAAAATATTCCGTTTATTTGTGTGTTTACAAAACAAAAACAATAGCAATTTTTAAAATCTAATGAAGCACAACAATCAATCTTGTTTACTGAAAATTAAAATAATTAAAAACATATCCGATCTGATGGAACACAGCAAATACCCAAGCACAACAATGATTCTTGTTTATTGATAGAAACTGTCACATTACAGAATCAACACACCTACTTCAATAGGCAGGCCCACAGTCTGGACACCCCAAAATCGTCATTGTAACTATGATATCGGATGGTCCGACCGTAGTTATATAGTTCGTTTGTTGTGGGGGAGTCCAGATTGGAGAAATCCATATAAATCACTCTTAGATTGTTTCTTTTAGTGTCAATATACATGTTAGGACACATTTTCTACGCCTATTTAAGATTAATTGTCTGACCGCTTCACAGCGTACTTTAGCCATATTTTCACACCAACTGCCGTAGATAGTGACTATAATTTTATACGTCACTTCTTTGTAGTCCGTTCAAGTGAGCGAACATGTTGCAATTTTGTAGCCATTTGACCGTTAAAAAAGACAAGGTTCTTTATTCTCTTTATCCATTTGTCATGGGTGAGTTTTTCTAAAAGGATTTAATTGAATATTTGTGCTCAGTGCCTGTATGTGTGTGTAAGAAAAGTCAGCAGATTGAGAATGCGAATCTGTTTGTCTACGATCGCCTGCGATGAAAGACGACAGATAGCGATCCTGGTTGGAATGCACTTTCGGCTGAAATTTCTCTGTGAATTCTTCGAGCCCGCTTTCTAAACCTCTTCGGATCAATCAATCCACATATCTGGAGTGTATTTATGGTATTGTTAACTTTGTATGATCAGTTGTTATCTTTTATTCGGTCTCTGAACTTGTTGAGTCGCTGGACCGTTGGAAAGGACAAGAAGCTTCGGGTCAGGCATGACGTCATATCCGCTGTTGCTAGGAGCTACTGTAACCACAACAAGCTTAGGCTCTAGGAATGCTTTCGGAGCCTATTTCCTTCTATCTTGGTTTTGCCTTCATCTCTTATACCTTACCTTTCCAACTAGTGAAAAAGGTATATTTAGAGGGATGGGGAATGATAGAGATCTGTTTGGCTTTCGCTACAAGACTAGATTTAGAAACTATTCGAGTTCATAGAAACGTACGTAGGACTCTAGTGCTCACTCTGGGAAACTGCAGGGGTTCCAAGATATATGAAGTCAACCTTCATGGTTTGGACTAGCCCTCATTTACGTCTGAGCATGTGGAGAGCGTGAGGAGAGTGATTAACAGGGTACATTGGGTACGGTTCGCTCATGTGTGTTGCCTTGTTAATTTCAGGATTTTGGAAGATCCAACAAGCATCCGTGGCGTAATCGTGCTCTTCCATCAACCAACACCAGGGTAGCAACCTACGTGCGTTGATCAGCCATTACCGAATATGTTTGACTGTATGTGAAGTCTACATCCACCAGTCTCTGGGGAGTTGATTGTCCTTTAATCAATCCCAGAGGTATTATTAATCGTGCGGAGACTTTCTGAGAAGCGAGACGTTGCAGAATTCCACCTTCCGGCACCCTGAGGAGCTGCAGGATCCGACCAGATAAGTCAGAGTAGCACTACATTAGCGGCTTGAGTCCAGATGTGCCTTCGTAATCTGTCTCAGACCTCCACATTATGATGATGCCGGAAATGGATGTAGCCCTGTAGAAAGACTTTTTCTCTATCCTTTATTCTTCAAAGATTTGAACAATCATTCTAGTTCTTCGTGCTACTTTTAATCTTTCTTGTTATGAAGTATTGAATACATTACAGTTTTAGTTCATAAGACTTTCTGTTCTTCGAAAGGTTTGGTGTTAGCGAATCAATTGTCGTAGTCAGAAAGGTATTCATGACTTGTCATATTCACTGTTGTCTATATATTTGACTGTGTTACGTTGTTTACCAGTCTAGGGGCAAATTTAGTAATGGGGATGTCTGGCCGAGAGGTACCCAAGAGTTCGTAGTAACCCTGTGGAGTCAGAGCTCGAGTCACCTCATTCCTGAGACAGGTTGAATGGGAAGTTTGAACCGAGGGTTAGGCCTCTAGACGAACGAGAGCCACCATTCAAAACACTCCTGTCTCAGAGCACCTGAGGGATTTGTGAAAATAATCCATAAGTAAAGGTGCGCGACAAAACTGCCATACGACAGAAGCACGCCACATTTGAATGGGAAAGCAAAGCCAGCACTAAACACACACGGACAACATGACCTACCCTTCAAGTGTCTCTTCTGAAAAACTCAAAGGAACTGGCATCAGTGTGTCCCGGTTTATTCTTGGATATCTAAGCAATAAAATAGATGAATAAACAAAGAAATAATATCTGACACTATCAGGCCTGAGCAATGCTGCATGTGTTAATTGAGAAGTTCTGCATCGATCGTGTGTCCCATATATTAATTCGCATGCTGTTCCGTTTTAGTTTCTAATGTCTGAAACTACCATTAAAATATTAAGGAAAGGTTATTCTAACATTTTACTTTATATGTCTTTGTTCATATATTTAGGAGCACATTTATTCAATTCATTGCTAACGTCGTTTTCAGACAGTGATTTTTCAGATTTCGTCTTCGACTGCCTATGGATACCAATGTTCTGAACACAAGTACAGGCTGAAAAATGCGCCTTTCTGCAGCTGAAGTTCTGAAACTGTTTCAGTTGGATGGTTTTAATTATGATTATGATCATAAAAACTCACATTTTTCTGAAAGTGATCATCATCATCATCATGTAGCAGGTCCTTTGCAGAACCTCGCTTTCATCACAGTCTGCCTGAAAGAAACTCGGTCTCTCGCCAGCTCTCCCGCCTCATATACTTTCATACTTAAGGAGTCACTTATATCCTGTGCCCATCTTCGTGTTGGTCGGCCCCTGCCCCTCCTTCCTGGTACCATGCCCTCTGCTATAGTTTTTTCCAATCCGTTATGGCGCTTGATATGACCAAAATATTTCAACTTCTGAGAAAGGATGCTGTTTATTAGCCAATCTTCCTTGATGTTCAGATCTTTTAAGATGTCAATATTTCTCCCCTTCTTTGTCAAAGATTTTCTGAGAATCTTTCTATAGCATTTCAGCTCAAAAGCCCCTATTCTCTTTCTTAAGGACTGAAAATGATCTGGACGGTGAATTTACATCAACAGTAGCTGAACAGTCAACTGTTAGAGAATCTAGCAGTTCTGATGAAGATGTCAATATTTCTCCCCTTCTTTGTCAAAGATTTTCTGAGAATCTTTCTATAGCATTTCAGCTCAAAAGCCCCTATTCTCTTTCTTAAGGACTGAAAATGATCTGGACGGTGAATTTACATCAACAGCAGCTGAACAGTCAACTGTTAGAGAATCTAGCAGTTCTGATGATGTAAGCCCAAAAAGATCCTTTGTATTTGCCACAGATTTAACAGTCACCAACATCTGCATCCAAACAACTGTTCCAACCATACCATACTATGGCTAAGCTGCACTGAAATCATTGCAGCTACCATACCATACTATGGCTAAGCTGCACTGAAATCATTGCAGCTAGTCTGTATATAACTGTACAAAGTAAATATTTTGTGTGGAGTGGTCACTTCTTTGGCCATTTTTCTTTGAAAGTTTGTTTAGCACTTTTTAAGAACCTACAGCCTCTGAGTGATAAACTAACCAAAAAATTTATAACTTTTGAATTTGTTAGGAAATTTAACACACTTTAAAGTGTTATTCTCAAATTAGGATATTTACTGCTTTTGTGACTGCAAAACAGTGGTAAGTAGTTTAGAATTGTTTTTAAAAATTTTGTCTGTATAAAAATAACATCTGCTGAATTCTTTTTTTTTCTTTCTACTAATTATAGCAGCGTTAAACATATACATATAATCAGATTCAAAATGTACATACATTCCTTTAAAAAAAAAATTATTATGTAGGGATTATAAATATATTACACCCTATTGCATTTTTTTTGACACCACCTCCTCTGCCATTTTTGTAAATGAAAATCAATACAAGCCATGTCTGTCAAAATTCATGGCCCTGCAATAGTAAATTTAACAAAGGATGGTAGACTAATGGGCAAAACGGACTGCACTAGCTTCAACATATCTTTAGAGGCTATATGGCTTAAAGGTTAAAAAAAAGGTTGTTTATTTCCTTATGCCAGCTCAGTAGTAGGCACCCCTCTTTTCTGATATCTTTAGTGATGTTGACTGTATCTGCCAGAGTGATTAGAACACTGGCCTGGTTATTTCTTTGGTAAGCTGATAGAAATACTCTGTCTTCAAAAATTAAAATCCTAATCCGCAGTTTGTGGCAACTGCATCAAGCTGTACGGATCTTCTATATACATGATATGCTAGTATTAACCTTCTTTGCTTCATCCATTTGTTTTATGAGCTTAGTCTATATGTTGTTACCTCCTATCTACTCCTTTCATGTAGTGTTATTATTGAACCCCTCTCAATCAAGACATTTTATAGTTTAAAACAACTACCTTATAACCCAGACACAGTTAAAGTATACTTGCCTGGGACTGAAAGAGTTAAGGTGGATTGAAAGCCCTCTGTCAATTATAAACATCCATCCTGATTCCCATTTGAATACACTCAAACCCCATTCTACACCCCTAAACAAATACTTTTAACACTGACACTAACACATGAGCGAGTACAAAAGTATCACCTGCTCTGGTTAAAAGTAAAAATGCTGACTTTGATCTGGCTGTACTTGCGGAGAATTTTCTGTGTGTCTTCATCTGTGTTAAAGGAATTCATCAACACCAGTGGCACATCAACATCATACATCTTGTTCAAATGCTGTAAAATGATGAAATGATGGGTCAATGTATGCACTTTGAGTCAAGATATCCTCAAATTCAATAAGAATCAAGGTAAAAGCTACATAATGCAGTATTTGGTGCTTAAATTAATATTTGCCGTTGTATAGTAATGACAATTATATTTCTTTAGCTCCAATCTGCTATACATTCAAATAAAAGTATAAAATAATTAATGTCACTATACTTTTAATACAATTTATAATGAAGTTGTCAATAAGAACTGCTGTTTCTCTTGTCCTAAACCGCCTGACATTCAAGTGTAAACAGTAAATGACACTACACTTTTAATGTAATTAAATTTTAAGGTGTACATTTTTCTGTTGGGGCAAAAATAAACATCTTAACCTTCACAGTCAGTAGGCAGTGCTAGAACTAAAACCTAGGATCATGGCACCACTGTCTAAATCATATGGTAAATGCTGACAGAAGTGACAGACAAAAAGAACAACATTTTCTCCTGCCTCAGGCTGCACAAAATTTGAGTAAAAGAAAAAACAAGTAAATGTTATTACATTTGTAAAATAACTGTAATATGTCAATAAATACTGTTATTTCCTCGACCATGATCTGTGATACTTTCAAATATAAATGCGAAAACAAGTAAACACTACATTTTTAAAATACTCTATTTAACCACATCACCCTTCATGCTTATTTTTAAAATCTCAGAGATAAAAGATTCTCAGTCAATTCTGAGTTATCCAAACGCTTTAATATAACTATATCAAATAGAGTCAGTTATAAAGTATCAATAGTTTCATTAGCAGATAACTGGTTATCACAAATGTTCCATTTCATTGTAACAGTCACACCAGCAACTTCTGTTTCCTCCAATGCAGTTATGTCAGTTGGTCATTTCTGTTACAGCCACCTATAACCTTTGTGTGATCAATGATAATCTGTGGACAGGACACCCAAACATTGCTGCCATCTTTGTTACTATGATTAGTTAAACTCACAAAACAAATATAATAACATAACACAGTACAAATCTGGAGAAGAAAACATTTTGTTTGGCATCTTAAGGTATATTTATTTCCCTTACCTCAATCTGCTGTACATTCAGGTCAAGAAAGGTCAGCTCATTTCTGACCTGGATGGCACTCTTCGGTCCTGTACAGCCCATACTTGTGCCCAGGCCACCATTCAGTTTAATGACAACCAGCTGGTTTAGGAGATCTTTCATATCCTTGGTTCCAGGCGATGGCAGATGATTGTACTTCTTTATCTGCCACAAATATCAACAATATACATTAACAACAACAACTTCTCCTACAGCCTAAATAATTAATATTCATGTAAAGAAATTATAGATGTAATAAAGCAAACCAGCTTACTGGACAAATGGAACCAATAATCAGATACAAATGTGTATGAGTAATTACCAAGAAAGCATTCTGTTTTAAAATCTTCTTATCAAATCTATTCTACCTCAGCCATTGTTCATCTACACTTGTAACAGGGTCACTACCCATACTGCGTTTTAATGTTGTGCTGTCTGCACAACAGGCCCATCATGGCCTTCACCCTTATTTCTGGAATATTCCGATTGAGAGGAGTGCAATTTATGGTTATTGCTCAACCCCCTTTGGTAGAGGAACTAGGGTCAGATTCTGGACTAGACACGGATCCGGGATCTAGCGACGAAGAAGGAGAAGCGGGAGCACAGTAACTAAATAGCTCTTTATGGCAGGCTAAGTCCGACGGTAGTGCCAAACCGCACTAGAGGCTAGGTGGCAGTTAGATGTTAGAGCCAGTTAACTAAGTAACTAGAGATAAAATACACAACGCGACCTCAAGAGTATGTAACCATAAAGAGAACACAGCCCTATTTAAAGTATTATTGATATTGTTTGTGTCATTGCTGAAGTGTCACAATAAAGATTACAGACAAGAACAGTTGTTTCTAGACGTTCTGTATACAAGTCTCAGAGTTACGTGAGAAGCGTGCAGCTAACAAGACATCATCATCAACACCACCACTATTGACACGACCATCCTTTTCCTCGTCTATATTCCTCAAATGACTCCTCTTGTAGCAAACATAAAGACGAACCTGGGTGTGACATTAACATACGCAACGAAGAAGAGAGCTGTGCTAAACACTGCCTATGTTTTCTAAAGCATTGCATCTATTTTGTTTAGTTTTGGCCTTGGAATAAAACATATTTGCATAACATCACACTTGTAAGAAAAAGAAAGAGGACATTTTTACATCAGTGAATACTTCAATGAGCTCTTTAATCCTCTAGATCATCAGGAAAGAACAACTGAAGAGCACAGAACAACAGTGTAAGAACCACACATTCTAATGGATGAAATAGAAAAAGTCAAGCAGTCTCCCAAATATAAAGCACCAGGAGCTGATAGATTACCAACAGAAATAATTCAAACAGCAGGTGAAAGCAGCATCAGATGGCTTCACAGAATATTTAATTCAGCATGGGTACAACAAACTGCCCATATTGATTGGCAACATGCAATAGTTATACCATTGTGGAAGAATGAAGGAAGCAAACGAGAATGCTGTCAATACCGAGGCATCTCTTTTTAAAGCCATGTTGGCAAAATGTATGCCAAGATAATAGAAACAAGACTGAGACCAGTGATAGAACCACAGCTGGCAGAAGAACAGATGGGATTTAGGAGAAATAGAAGCTGCACAGATGCAATTTCACCCTTGAACAGTTAATAGAAAAGAACATTGAATACAATAAGAACTTATTTGTGGCATTCGTAGACCAGGAGAAGGCATTTGACAGAGTCGGCAGACAATTATTATGGAAAGTAATGGCAAGATATGGAGTAAGCGAACACCTCATCGAAGTGTGCAAAAGTTTATACAGGGATTGTAGAAGTGTAGTTAGCATAAATCAGGGAACATCTCATCCATTCACAGTAACATCTGGAGTAAGACAGGGGTGTGTCTTATCACCACTGCTGTTTATCTCCTACATCGACAGTATATGCAAGAATGCCAAGCCCAAGAATGAAAATGTTAGTAAGATCAAGGAATTACTCTTTGCAGATGACCAGGCCTTGATAGCAGATACAGCCATGAAATTGCAACAACATGTTACATCCATGAATGAAGAATGTAAACAAATAATATGAGAATCAACACTGAAAAGACAGAAGTAATGTCAATAGGAAAAAAGAAGACAGATCTAAACATAGAAATAGAGTGCAAAGGCATTAAACAGGCATCTGAGTTTAAATATCTGGGAACTACATTCACCGAAGATGGGAAATTGGAAAAAGAAATTAACATTAGATGCAGTAAAGCAAACCAAGTATTAGGACAGCTAACCCCCCTCTTACAGTATAAGACAATCCCAATCAGCACAAAGAGACATCTTATTCAAAGCATATTTATTCCAACTCCGTGCTACCAGTGCCAGACATGGTCACTCACAACAAACCATAAAAGAAAATTAGTAACCACGGAAATAAGATGTCTGAGAAGGGCTGTAGGAGTGACCATAAGAGATAAGATCAGGAATGAGATCATAAGAGAACAAGTCGGCACAGAACCAATTCTGGATTACATACGAAGACAGCAAGTGAAATGGTTTGCCAACTTAGAGAGAATGCCTTGTGACACCATACCATGGAAAGAGAAGAAGGACGTAGAGCACGAGGTAGACCAAGAACAAGATGGAAAGATAACATCAGAGAAACTCTACAACAGCACAATGTGCCTATGGTCGAGGCGGCCAGAAGAGCTAGAAACAGAACCTTATATCTCCCTCGGCACCCACAGCGGTAAAAGAGGAAGTGAAGAAGAAGAAGAAGGTGCATAAGACATATGATGCTACATGCATATTTTTATAGAACAATCAGAACTCGAAGGGTGACGTAGTCAACATCATGATAGCCACCTCTACTTCCCAGGACATTACTCAGTATCCATTCTACCTGGATCGATGAGGGAGCCAAGGCCATTGCTGAAAAAAATCTGCCTCAATGTGGATTTGAACGCAAGACCTTTGGGTTGCAGGCAAGCATCTAACCACTGTGCTACCACAACTTCCCTCCTCAAACAAGTTTATACTTACTGACTCTGGGGCTAACAGTTTCATCTTATCCCATTCAACGGAGGGTCCACTCTCTCGTAAAAATCTGCCAAATAGGTTCTCAAATTCTTCAAATTCTTTTTTCACACGCTGAAATGTTAAACAAATGTTGAAAAAACAAGTTATCAGTACAGCTGACATTAGGACAATATTAAAAATAGATTGTTATATTGTCATTTTTATACTCCCATTATAACAGTTTGATACTTTAGCCATTTATTTCTCATTCTACTCCCATAAAAAACATTTTTTTTAATGAATCGGACAAAATACTATTTTGTGATATTGTAAGTTTGAATGCTAACTAATCTAAAAATCAGTGCGAAGAAAAAGACCAACTGCCAAGATTAATCGAGAATAAAGAAATAAAATATGCTTTCAATAGTCTAGCCAGTATAGTTGTCCATTGTAGAAGTAGCTGTTGTCTTCATAATCCAGATTATAATGTGAATAATAAAGGTGGTAAAAGGCATCCTGTTGTTATTCCGAACAATGAGTGTTCCTTCATGCAGAACTCTAAATACTGAATACTGCAATAAGAAAAACAGTATTCAATTGCTATAGAGAACCTGTTTTACATGCATGTGAGACATGGATGGATTGTACAGGACAGGATAGAAGGGAGTCTAAATGTGGGCCCCCTGTGGGCCAGCAGGTCAGCATCTAGCCACTACAGGACCACAGCTTCCATCTGTTCAGCACTTATCTGTTTTATTGGAAGCCAGTCTGTTTATCCCTTAGTTGTTGTTCACTGATGTCTCTTAATCTCCATTCAGCACTTGATATGTGATGTCGTCAACATCACACTGGTCATATTTATTTCCCAGGGCATTTCCTAGTACCAATTTAAGGCTTGGTCGACCTGGGAATCCAGCTAAATTACATAAAATATATAAAATATATGCTGATCTGAAATGAAGTCAGCTGAGCTTGTTGGCAAGTACTAATCAACTGTTGCAGACAAGGGTTTGTTTAAGAGGAAACAGAAAAAAAAAAAAAAAAAAAGAAATAGAGGAAGAAGGAGAACAACCATTCACTAGGAAAGAAAGAATTAACAGTTGCAGTAACAGAAAGCTATCACAGCAGGCACCCAAGGGGGAAATAATCACTACGAAAAGTCTATGACATGGCTTTCAAAGAAAAATCATGAATGTATGGCTGTGAAAGACAGTGGAAATGGCCAATAGGGAAGCCAGATTTCTTTACTATGCTCTGACCAAATACAGAAAGCTAAAGAACATCTTACATGATGACTGAGACTCACCATTGGAAGCTGAACACATACCATTAGCACAGTGGTGTGTGATTGCCTGTTGGCCTAAAATAATCAAATCTACCCAGAAAAGAGATTTTTTAAATAAATGATTAATATCGCAGGTCAATCCAGCCTAACATTAGGTACCATGAAAAGTCCTGTGAAGTAAATGCAGCTGTCCTGATGTTGACCACATTACCCACTGAGTGCCAACTGGTCTATACAAATACGAGCTCAGCTTTATTCGCCCAATAACCCACTGGCATAAAAAAGATTCCTTAATTTTTACTTTTTTTGTTTGTTTTGTTTAACATACGTATATTATGTGTTACTTGAGACTGAAAGAGTTGAGATGGAATAAATGAATGTACCTGTTGCATGCCTTCTGGAGATGTCATCAAGAGTTTGCTGAGTTCCTTGTTCAAGGCTGACTGTGCATCTTTACGCATGGCATCTCTGAATTCTATGTCACTTGTTGTCCGTCGGTGGCCCTTGGACAAGCCAGCCTGGGAAAAAAATGAAAAATATTAACTGGATCTGAATAAACTGATGTTGCATGCTTGCCTATCAGCGTTGTGTTCATGTGTCTGAAATTTCATCATGACAGGTTTATACAAGCTCAGAGGTTCGCCTTCTGCATGTGCCTTAAAAGGGCAGTGGGCATGCTGTGTCGAGGTTTAAAGCTAGGTGGAAATATCTGCAAATATGAGACAAAATTATCCAATTATCCGATTTCAGCAAACTACCCCCCCCCCCTCCTCCCCCCCCCCCCCCCATGTCAATATCAGTATCTACTAAGAAATAAAGAGACTGAGGGTGAACGTAAAAGAAGAGGAATCAATCTCAAATAATGTCCCGTGTCTGATACTCTTTTGGAGAATGTTCAATGGTAAAGCCCTAAGGACATCCTCTATGGTGAATTAAAGATATATAGATGGTAAAGAGGTCTGTATCCACATGAAATATAGATATGTGTGGTGGGACATGAATAATACAGGTATTGAGGTGAACTTGGGGGAGGAGAATCCCATAGAACATGCTGCATGGAGGGGTAAAATTAGGAAGAGAACAGAGAGGGATACAGTAGGAAATACCTGCAGATAGGTTAGGAGATGTGCATCCGAGAATAAGCACAATAAATAGATGCGATGGCAAACAGTCCTGAAATCCAATTCTCCAACTGTGCACGACTTTGTTAATGCAGCCAAATAATTATAGCCTGATAACACCAACATATGGAAAGATGGAAAGTGCTCTTCCCTTCGAAAAAAATTCAGTAGACTGGCAAGAAGTATCGGTGACCTCCTCACTACAAGTTCATACCAACCTGTACTATTTGGCCCATTTGTCCATGATAGTGACAGAAAAAGGACCAAAATTAATCATTCCTGAGTGTTCTCTCTCCTATTGAATGTGTTCTATTATGCAAAGTGCCAAGCTGGTATCAAGAAATGAATTCACCAGCACAAGCAATGATGAAGATTCTTTAATGAGGGACAAAGGAAAAAATGTGCTCAGGAACAATCAGACATTATAACTGGGGCCTTTATCAATAAATAACACAACAACAACAAGAATCCTGGACACAAATCTCCATCAGGGGTATCACATGAAGAAACTACAATGGAAATTATCTCCATTGATTCTTTTCATGTTTAGTTCAAAACAACAAAAGCAAACACTACTACTTAAAGTGAACATACTTCTATCAGAGCCTTATACATGTGAATAACAGCAGCCATGTCTTCAGTCTAATCCCTAATCCACTCAACACAAAAGCCACTTATCAATGTGGACAAGCTCAGCTAGGATGCACACTAGCAGATGTGACCAAGATGATTATCTGTTACCTCCTTATACATCAGAATTACCACCTGTTACCACTAACCCCCACCCCTCACACCACCCCACCCCAACAGGTTGTATGGAATCAAAACATGTTTTAAAAAAAGGGGTTGAAAAATACTCTCTCTGTCTTGATTTGCTTCAGTGTCAAGGTAATGTTTCGAGGGGGATAATCAATTAGTCCGGTGAAATAAAAACAACAGCCACATAAACAATGTTGTCTTTTGAAATTAATGACAGGCTTAAAATACAGCAACATTTTCTGTGAGGGTTCTTGCTCTCTATTAGTAGTGTAGATGGGGTTTGGGGGGTGGAAAAGGGGGAGGGGGTAGACCTGCAACTCCTTAAGCATATTGTAAAAGGTGACTAATTAAGGACTTGCTTAAAATGACTTAAAAGACTTGCATCAGGTGTGTCTGTGGCTTAGGCATTGCGAACATGCTTCATAATGCTGGGGTGCCCAGTTCAATCCCAGCTGAGGACGGTTTGTCTTGCGTTGGTTTTGACAGTGGTACTTAGAGCTGACTATTCAGAGGCAATGGCAAACTACTGAATGTAAAATTTGCCTAGGAAAACCAAAAAATGCTGGGGTTGGTTCTGCAACATCCTTAAAGGATATGCAACTAACTTTAAAACGGATAAGTTGGGCCGAAAAACTCTTGAATTGCAGCCCAGCTGTAGAACACAACTAAGTGGTGCATCTACCCTGGGTCTTTGGGTGGTGGGGTGTTTTAGAGAAAGAATCGTCAGAGGACTGGCACTGCACATCACGTAGGTGTATTTGTGTGTATTTGGCAGGAATAGTGGACAGATAATAATTCATTGATCATCTATTCATCTTTGTCACAATGTGTTTGTCCAAAATAAATAGACTGATCACTATACGATCATACTTGGCATGGTGTAGTATATTACAGTACTCATATACAGTGTTAGTGGTTACGAAAGAAATGTGACATATGCCTGATATATTGTGGTTTTTATGATGTTAACTTGTTAAGTGTACCTGGCTTATTGTGGTGCTCTTTTCTGGGTTGGCTTTTCTTTTCCCCAATTATAATCAAAATCAGCAAGTGCTTGGCCAATGAGAGTGGGCAGCTAGGGTTTGTGGATAGAGGCAATCCTGTGTGTATGTGTGAAGGACTAAAATTTATTTACAAATCCCCTAGATACTTGGCAAGCGTGTAGTGCATCCCCTGACCACACACATGTAAAAGCAAAATGCAAATAATAAGTCTACTATCTCAAGTATGAGATTGGAGTTGCAGGCTGTCACAAGAGCTCTGAGGTTTATGACTGGTAACAGTTATAAAAGCTATCTGTGTTAGATTCTCAGTCTGTACTACTTAAAACTAAAAATGAACATATATGGCATGAGTGAATACCTAGCATTAACAGGGACTTACACAGATATACTACCTGGGTTATGTAGGAGTGCAAGGCAATGAATGCGCAGAATTAATGACTGCAAAAGCTTCAATTGTAGGAACAATTATAAAGAATAAAGCAACACTTTTGAAGATAAGCTATGAATGAATCCCAGATCAAGATAAAATGTTAAAAACAACATATTAAAGGATGTAAATTTGGAGTAAAGCGTGCATCTGGCAAAGAGGGGCATATAAGGGAAGGAGTTTGTGTTTGTAACCAATGTGCTACAGGTACAATCAGCATCTAAGGTCAGTTGCGTATTCTTTTCCAAGATGTTGCAGAACCAACCCCAGCAGCCCCTGGCTATTGTGTGATTTCTCTAAGCAAATTTACGTCCAGTAGTTTGCCATTGCTTTCTGGATGGTCGGCCCCCTGATACCACTGTCAAAACCAATGCAAGGCGCATGGCCCGCAGCTGGGATCGGACCCGGCACCCCGGCATTACGAAGCGTTCGCATCCACTTAGCCACAGAGCCGACCAATCAGCATCTACACCTCACATTTATGGCAGGAGACAGAGCCTCTATGTGCATGGCAGGTATGCTATGATGTTAATTCAATCAACTATTTGTTTACACATTTCATTCTTGCAAAATAATAAAAGCAAACTTAAATAAAGATAATAACACATGTACATTTTATCATGCTCTGTTGACTTCTACCAAGATCATATAGAAACATCACTAAGAAACTATTATGTTGATTTGGGTCTTGTGGGCTCCAGTAAACTTGTATCTATCTTACTTGTTATTTTTCAAGATAACAAACATGAGATAATACATTCTGATAATTGGTGATTTGCATAAGAAGATGAGTAATCAGAAAAAGGATCTATGATGAGATAATATATTATGATAATTGGTGACTTTTACAAGAAGATGAGAGAACACTAGATAAGGATCTATGAATGTTATTGACTAAAATAAGAAGCATGCTTTATTAAATTCTAATAATTAGTGACACATCTAAGAATAAAAGAAAAGAATCCATGACTGTTTTTGACTAAACATTGGATATCATCATTATCATCATGTGCCATGCTGGTAAGCATAGGCTGTCATGTTTTGCCGTCTCATATGATCACCAGAATCATAGATCAGTTCAATGTTTTTCTTTTGCTCCATCCATCTGGCTAGGCCACCCAGTTATTCTCCACTTTGCCTTTCTCTTGCTGTCTTTCTATCAATCTTACCATTTGTTACTAAATTCTTGAGTCCATTCTGTTACATAATATATGGGATGGGATAATGGACTCTCAAAATTGGTGACTTGCATGAGAAGATAAACATTTACCAATGACTTTGCCTTGGCTGAGTTTTAGAAAGACTGTTTATATAAACACACACACACACAAACACACACACACACATATATATATATATATATAAATATATATATAAAGAATAATTATATATATGATATCCATACTGTGTCAATTGTACCATTCTTCAAAGCCAAGCAAGGAATAATTTTTTCTTGTATACTTAATACTTGTCTATTATATTGTCAGTGTTACATTCACTTTGAAGCAATTGATTTATCAATAATATTAGGTTACACTATCTTTCTACAAGACCTCTCATCTTTTCAAGCCACCCGTGGATCGATAGGTTTTAAGGGTTATCTGAGGTCAGGACCGCCTGCCGGATTCACAAATAAATCAAACCAGGCAGAAAGATAATTACCCGCCCCAGCAGTGAGGGGCTGATTAGCAGACGACCGCTCACTACTCGGGAAAAAAAACAACATCAACACTCACTTGTGGTGATTGATAGAAGGAAAGAAAAGAAGATAACTAAGGTAAACTAGTGCAAAAACTTATGCAATTCAGGGGAAAGCTGCGCGTAATTATTTACTTGAGTACGTAAAGCACACAAACAAGGCTTACTTTATTCAGATGGGCATCCATTGCGGCAAATGTTCATGAAAACGTTGTGTAACACCAGCCTGGCTAGGATTCCTTAGTTCTTACAGCCATTGGAGCCTTGGGGTCGGATCCTGTGAAGTTGGTGATTCTAAATATGTGTATCTTCAAAAGATACGGATATTTATCTATTATTGATTATATCAATCACTTTCTCTAGACAGAAACGAAACAAACCAAATTATATGTACAGCTTTTGTATTTCATAACTGATACTATAATAGTGACACTGCACCCTACCAGGCATGTCGTAAGAGGCGACTGAGAGTAGGGTTGGGCTTGAGGTAGGCCACCTCATCCTGTAAAAACCATAGCCACAAAAATTCAACCAACCATGGATAAGTCAAAAAGAGAAGCAAGTAAATCCCTGGCAACCAAGATGAGGGAAGGCTCTTCAAATAGAAGTATGACACGGTGTGGAGAAAGCCGTAAGGATCCGGATCGTTGACGTACCTCCTCTCAGCTAGGAAAACCTCCAGAATTGGCACCTGGAATGTTGGAACTCTCTACTCACAGGGGCATAGGAATAAAGGAAGGCCAAAAAACATATGGAGAAGCGAGCTGGAGAAGGAAGTTAGAAAGATGGGGAGGACATGGAACGAAAGAATATATTATTTAATGATAGCAAAATCAGTTTTAGAAAATAATTCTTTCGTGAAAAAAAAAAAGTGGTTTCAACTGCTAACAGAAGGCAAGACATAAAGTGTAACAATGACTGTGCTCATAAGCCGTCCCCTTGTGGAATGCAATTTTTCGTTATTTAGAAGCCCCACCCTGGCTGTTGCCGGGGCCTCTTAATATAACCTAACGGTTGAATGCGGTTTCCGGGACCTCTCCACGGGTGATCCTCATCTGCATGGTGGCACTTTCTGTCACCGGGTGTTTAAAGCTTTGTGTGATGTCTTGGTGGGGTACAATTTACTTATTTCCTTACAATAACTGTTAAGTTGTACGCAAAGGACCATAGTAGTGGAGCATCGTGCGTATGCTGCGATGCTAGACAAAGCTTTTTATAGACCAGTGGGACAAAGTCCGACCACTTTTACTTTTGTGGTCCCTTTTTTCGGCTAGGTCGACCTGGAAGCCAATGCAAATTTCATTTTTCAAATCCGCCCATCGAGGATTCTTCAGCGATCTCTGGTCATGCGCATAATCCACTGTGGGTCATAAACTGAGATGTCTTTTCAAGGTCTCTTAGGTTTCCCCACAGCTTAGTTGTCAGTTCTACTGGGTGTTGCCATATGTCGCTCCGCAGCTCCGCCAGGAGAGGACAGTCTTGCAGGACATCACCGCGCTCTCACAGCTCGCTCCGGCTGGCAGAACGATAACATAAATTTTACATGGTCTTTTAGTGACTGTGTAGTGGTTGCAATATCAGTCTGAAGATAAGATGTACAACATAATTCACTAGGTTATACTGCTTGTTAACTCCTTTTCCCTGTTCGCGAGGATGGGTGTTGTGGATTTCTTTCGATGCCATCGCTGCAGCTGCGGATCACTACATTTTCTGTTTCTATCAGCAGCTCTACAAAGATATACCGATCAATGGGAGATTTCGGGAGAAAATAAAGATGTGGAATGTACTTTCATTGTTCCCCCACACCCTTTCGGAGCTGTTAGTTTTGCATGACAGGATGAGACCAGTTTTGCAATATTTAGAATGACAGTGCCCCCTCACCATCACCCCTTCCCATAATGTAGTGTCCAGACGCTCGCCTGTGGATCAAAAGGTCGTTTGCTGGTTTCTGACGTAGCCAGACCCTTCCCAAAAAATTACCTTGACTCTCAGGTCGACCCAGCCTTGGGTGGGTACAAGGTACAGTTCTGGGAAGTAAAGGCACCCGGCGTGATGCTGACGACATCACCCATCCAGTGCCGATTGGTTTATAATTGTGAATACGGAGTATAATTTTTACACGGTAGTGGGTGAGAAGACGTATAGAGGAGATAACTATGAGAATCCGTGGGTTTGTAGTACGTATTCTCACAGTTATCTCCTCTATACGTCTTCTCACCCATTACCGCGTAAAAATTCTATTCCGTATTCACAGCTCCGTCGATTGCGCAGGTTGTGCTCTGATGATTCTGACTTTTTTGATAAATCAGTTGAACTTCTTGATTTTTTCCGTGCCCTTTTCTATCCGGAACACATTCTACAATGGGCGCTAAAAAAAGTGGCAATCACCAGGAGAGATGCTTTCCCTACCAAACGTAATTCCACCAGTGATGGACCCAAATTGATTTTGACTTTTCACCCTAACAATGTTGTTGCTTTCAAAGTATTCTTTCGTCATTTGGACATCCCCCGCTCTGATCCGGACACCAAGATTATCTTTAGTGAGAAACCTAAATTAGTTTATAGATGGGACTGCAACCTTAAAGACATACTTGTCCGAAGCCGACTCCCACCGATCCACACAGCACTTCCTTTTGGGTCTACTGAATGCTTACGCAGCATGTGCAAGACATGTCCTTTCGTTGTCCAGACTTCTTCGGTCAGTTTCCCTAATGGTTCTTTCCAAATTAGGGAACCCTTTACTTGCGAATCCCGCAACGTAATTTATGCAGTTATCTGCAAACGATGCATACATTGGGGAAACTGGCAGGATGCTAGCTGATCGTTTCGGGAACACCTCTCCGATATTGACAGGTCCTTCTGTATATAGAGAATAAATAGAGAAGGCCGTGGATATTGTCAAGAAGACACTCAAAACAATCCCTCTCCATTTTAATAGCTCTGACCACAGAGGTGCCTCTCAAAGACCAACCCCACGTCCTCGTCGTGAGAGGTGGTAACAGGACAAAGTAGGGGATTGCTAGGTGTGGGCGAAGTATGGTGTGGCCTCGTGCCACGGGACCGCTACGGTAGCCATGAAGGCCACCCTGGGTCACCCCGAAACGTCCTGGCCAACGGGGCTCTGGTGAAGTTGCGACAGGCCTAGCAAGCCGGCAATGGATTTTTTACCGCTACAAAAATCAAAATGAGATATAAACGGACTGATCAAACGGTATCTGACCATGGCAATGTTAACGGACTACGAGACAGAACAGCGAAATACAAGATTGCAACACTTAACACCGCTGGCCTGGGAAATAAAACAGAAGAGATTATTGAAATGATGGAAAAAAGGAAAATCAAGTTAATGGGGCTAGCTGACATAAGACGCAAGGGAAATATTAATAAGAAAATACACAGAGGCTACTTACTAACATATGCAGGAGGAGAAACATCGAAGAATGGAGTGGGTTTCCTGGTACATCCAGACATATCTAACTACATATTAGACATACATTATCACTCAGATAGAATTATTACTTTGAAAATTAAAAGAGGAGAACAAGCTGAAACATATATACAGATATATGCACCATGCAATGATAATTATGCAGAAGAGCAGAAAGATGAATTCTTTGACGATCTGTCTGATGAGATAAAGAAAGTTGAGGGAAGCAGCATACTATATGTAATGGGTGACTTCAACGGGAGGGTAGGAAATAACAGAAGAGAATACGAACAATTTTTAGGTCCACATGCAGCTAAGAACAGTGCTAGAAATGGAAATGGTCAAAGAATATTGGATCTATGCAGCCAGCACAATCTTTTTATTACGAACACATTCTTTGACCATAGAGATTCACAACTTTACACTTGGTACAAATGGAATGATATCTCCATCAAGAGCCAGATTGACTTTATACTTACCAGAGTTCAAGGAAGAAGGAGAATTCTTGATTCAAGAGCAATCCCTAATGGTCTATGTGACACTGACCATAAAATAGTTGTGTTAACAGCAAAACATCTTACATTAAAGAAACACAGAAAGAAATTAAACAAAAACAAGGATCTCATCAAGATAGCAAATCTGAAACAGGAAGGAGTAAAAGAACAGTTACAACAGAAAGTAGAGACAGCATTCAAACAACTTCCACATGTAGTTGGCAATATTGAGGAAGAATGGAGTATATATAAAAACACTATGCTTAGTATTGCAGAAGAATTATGTGGAAAACGGAAGAGTGGAAACAGACGAGGAAATAACAAATATTCACCTTGGTGGTGCGAAGAAGTAAAAGAAGCAATTAAAAAGAAAAAAGACTTATATAAACAGTGGATAAAATCAAAGAAAGAAGAAGATTATATAAACTATAGACTGCAAAGGAGAGAAACCAATAGGAGTGTCAAGAAAGCAAAACAAGCATCCTGGGAACGTTTCGGTGAGTCACTAGCAGAAAATGAGAAAACAGCCAGCAGAAAATTTTTCAAAGTGGTTAAAAATATGCGGAAAAGAGATGAGAGCTACAACCCCACTGAAATAATTAATGATAAGACAGGAAGGCCATTGATAGATCCACCCGAGATTGCAGAAAGATGGAGGGAATACTTCAATGAGCTCTTTAATCCTCTAGGAGATCATCAGGAAAGAACAACTGAAGAGCACAGAGCAACAGTGTTAGAACCACACATACTAATGGATGAAATAGAAAAAGTCATTAAACAGTCTCCCAAATATAAAGCACCAGGAGCTGATAGATTACCAACAGAAATAATTCAAGCAGCAGGTGAAAGCAGCATCAGATGGCTTCACAGAATATTCAATGCAGCATGGGTACAACAAACGGCCCCTATTGATTGGCAACATGCAATAGTTATACCATTGTGGAAGAACAAAGGAAGCAAACGAGAATGCGGTCAATATCGAGGCATCTCTCTTTTAAGCCATGTTGGCAAAATGTATGCCAAGATAATAGAAACAAGACTGAGACCAGTGATAGAACCACAGCTGGCAGAAGAACAGATGGGATTTAGGAGAAATAGAAGCTGCACAGATGCAATTTCACACTTAAACAGTTAATAGAAAAGAACATTGAATACAATAAGAACTTATTTGTGGCATTCGTAGACCAGGAGAAGGCATTTGACAGAGTCGACAGACAATTATTATGGAAAATAATGTCAAGATATGGAGTAAGCGAACACCTCATCG